TAAATGTCCTGCAGATTGCAGTTAATTGCCTTTGCTTATTCCTTTATGCCAGCGTTAACAAAGCCGGATGTACTATAACAGCGCCAGTACGGAAAACAAAACTTTTAAACGTTCTATTCGATAGTTTTCAAAAAAAAAACAAAAAAAGCTTTTTTTGCCACGGAATTCTGTTCTGAAGTTATTTTTTTTACTGTGAATTTTTCCACTGAAATTTAAAGCTCCCATAAAATTTACAAAAAAAAAACAAATTTCGATTTTTTAATCGCAGCTGTGCACACGACTCAAATTTGTGCTTGGTACAGTGCACGTGAGAAACTATTAAAAATGGCGCTCAACTGCTCCGTGCTTCAACTATCTTAAATTCATTCAATCATTCAATAATTTCTGCATTATTCTTTCAAAGTCCTGTACAAAAAAATTTTTGTTTTTCATTCTTTGCTACTTTTATCATTATAAGAAACATAGATATCACATTTTAATATTCTTATACAGTACATCCAGAAGTTTCAGTCTTATCGAACCTTAGCCCGGGATCATCACGCTGTGTGAATGAATTATGTGTTGGAGTGCAATGAAACGTCAGTCAAAACGATGTTACATGTCTTTCATCCGATGAATCAATGATGCTCAAAAAAAGGTTCATGCCACCATCGGGATACATCCTGTTAGCACCAAGCAACAGTTCCAGAGCGATTTTGAAGATAGCATGAACATACTTTTAGCTCCCGATTCAGTGTGCCATCGTTTCGATGTCGGATGCGCAAGAATGCAAAATCACCGACAATTTTTGCTTCAGCCTTGAAAGACTGCTTATCACCCTGCAAATGAAGGTTTAACAAAAGACTGCTACTTACACATTTTCCCGCACCTAACATTCTTACATGTCTAACCTGGATGCTAAAAGAGAATGTTTCAATGATCTAATCTCAGATTACTAAGAGGGTGGAGCTCCCATCGAGCGTTCGTCAGTGGTCAATATTCGAAGGGCAAAATTTTCCAAAAATTTCGAATCATCACAAACAGAATGGCTTTCCTCGATAAAGCGACGCTGAAATTTTTCCACCGTTTTCCCTACCAACTATAGATATGAGTGAAGGTAACAATCCCTGACTCATTTGCACAGTTCAGGACTTCACGTAATGGAACGATTTCGGACTATTTGAAGGCAAACGAAACGGAATGCTCTTTCCATCGCCCCGTGAAGATGGCAGTGATCAGTGCAACAGGAGAGAAAGCCAGGGCAAAGAGGCAGAAATGTTTGAAATAATTACTTCGACAATTTTGAATTTAACGACAGAATCTTCAGTTGGCAGTGGAACACCCATACGAACTGGTTCATTTGAGATCGCATAAACATCCTTGCCAAGAGCATTCTCTTCCACGGTCACATTATACACCGGCCACGTGAACTGAAACCACTTTCACATACACATGTGCTTTTTGATGGCCCATTTTGAAGCAAACAAACATTTTTTATTTAAAATACCATAGTTGTGAGAACTAGACACGAACGCTTCACTATAATCTTTGAAATTTGTATGCTTAACTCGTTTTACCAGTTAGAATGTGAAAATTGCATATACATGTGCGTCTATGGCACTGTAAAAGTATATAGTTTGAACAGATGATTTTAAACAGTAGCCTTCGCGGCACAGTGTTTTCTTGATATATACTCCGAGTGCCTCCACACTGTCTAGTCTGTTGCCACTTTCAAATCACTACGAGTGCCTAAATCGGAATTATGGGGGAGCGTAAACTTTTACAGGCAAAGAAAAATTTTAGATAATAAAGCAAATTTATTGCATAATACTAATGTACGGTGGTGATGAATAGACAGGAAAAATAGTATTTTTTAACTGACAGAGTCTAAGCTGAAACAAGCTTTTACGGAAGTTTTCAAACCTGGAAGATATATGTGTCTCGTTTCTGATCCCGTGCGATGATTGAAAATTCATAGCCAAGCAGTAATAAAGCCTGAAGGAGCAAATGGCAGTTAGCCATTTGACTCCAATGTCGACAGCTTATCAGGCTCTGGTAGCAGGAATGTTATACAGGCGTCTTGAAAAATAACAACGGCAGTGGTACTTGAGGATATACTGGCAGCGCAGATATTCATTGACAGTGCTGAGGTAGGTGCTCTCGAAGCAACTGGATTAGCAGTGCTACCAGCCGAGGCCCGTTGCATTCGCTAATGAATAACAGTCCGCAAAAACACAAGGCATAGTTGAGTTTGAAGAGGAAAGCACTTAGACATGGACAGCTTCAAACGCCTTTACTGCAAATACGAAAACTTCTAGGCAAATAAATTGTTCGACAAATTTTCGTAACAAATGCGCACGAGTCTGAAGTAAGCAGCCCCCTCCCTCCCGTATCTCCGTGAAGTACCTAGTGCTGCTTTTTTAATGAACATTGCAGCTCGCACCCCAAGCAGACACTCAAATCCCGTACTATTATGCATTTTTTAACGCGTTTTTTCATATGCAAAAACACATATTGGGAAGAGGCTGTATGTGTGTTCGCACTTTTTGTCACCCACTTTCAACTCGAGAACTAGAGAAGCTAGAAGGCTGAATCTTTCCGTAGTATGCGCTACCCTCCCATCTTAATATCATCCCATGCACAGGCCTGGGTGCCGCTTTCGGACGCTTTAAAAAAATACGCAAATTTTTTGGCTGGTAAGCGATCTCGGGGACCAGACAAGGTAAGGGGCTGAAACTTCATAGGGATATTCCCTGTGCATGTGTTAGCTAAAAATTTCAAATTCAGCCCCCAGGCATGCGTGTTATTCACGTAAGGGCGTATGAAATTCTTGGCGGGAAAATTGCTAATTCGCAAACCGGGAAAGCTTTTTAGCTGAAATTTTAGAGGGATGCTCCCTGTCCACGTGCAATTTAAGAATTTCAAATTCAGCTTCCCAGGCACGTGGAGTACCCACGTACTGGCATGTGAAAGTTTTGGCAGTAAAATTGCTAACTCGGTAACCAGAAAAGCTGGAAACTGAGAACTCACATATTTCAAATTCAGCCCCTGGCTATGCTTGGTACTCACGTAAAGGCCTATGAAAATTTCTGCCGGAAAAAAATTACTAACTCGTGAACCAGAAAAGCTAGAAAGCTGAAATTTTAGAGGAGTGTTCCCTGTCCAGGTACAACTTAAGTGTTTCAAATTCAGCCTTGAGGTATGCGTGGTTCTTACTAATGGGCACTTAAAATTTTTGGCGGAAAAATTTCTCAGTGAACAGCTAGGTTACTTTCAAAGAACGGCCGTTAAACGGGAGCTGTTCATCCCCTTTATATAGAATTTGTGGTGACTTATCCTAGGAAACGCAAAAGATAGGTGTAAAGCAACAACCAGTTAATGACCTGAGTACAAGTTCGGCGCAAAAATGCATGATCGCACGGGCCCGCCCGGTGCGTTTTAGTCTGGATTCATTACTGTCACAACACAGAAATTGGCGAATTACGCGTGTGTGATATGTGAGTATGTGTGTGTGTGTGTGTGTGTATTTGTGTGTGTGTGTATGTACGTGAGAGTACGTCTATGTGTGTGTTTCTGCCACATATGTAAACCCTCAAACTGCAGAATCTTTGAAGTCTGAAATTTTAGGAACATGATCCTGGCATTACGCGAGGGCCTGAAATCGACCCAAGCACAATCTGAAGTAAGAATTAAGACTTCTTTTATAACTCAACAGTCAAGAAAATTAGGGGTCAGAATTCTGTGGGAATGACTTGTGATCGTATGCGAGGCCGAAATCTGAAATTAACCTATATCCCGTTTTCTGCCTTGACATGTGACCTCGAGTGCAAATTCGAGAAAATTTTATGAAAACAGCAAAAGAGCTATAAACTCGCAATTATGACAGTTCAGTTATTAAGCGGAGTGAACAAAACTCCCAAAGCCAGCGTCCAATGTTCATTGTACCCTGGCCCCTGGCCGATGACTCGCACGGGCTATTTTTATGAAAATCAGGACTGAGCGAACTAGAAACCCGAAATTTTGGATTTGCAGCTTATTGCAAAGGACCTAAGCAGCTGAAAGTAATTTTTTTTTTCAAAGCTTACTTTTCACGAGCTCTGACTCACGCCCTCATTCAGAAATAATCTTGTCAATGGTTATCAAGCTTCATCAGCTGCCCTGATTATTCATCAAAAACTTCATCAGCTGCCTATGATATCA